TATATATATATGTGTGTGTGTGTGTGTGTGTGTGTGTCTCTCTCTCTCTCTCTCTCTCTATATATATATATATATATATATATATTTATATTTATATATATTAATTATAAGGAATCCACTTACTCCAAGACTAAGTCTTAACAAAATTACTTCACTTAATAACTCATAATTTACATTGAATTTCAACAATTTATTTGTTAAATTAAAATTCTTAATGAATAAATCAAACCTATAAATTTTTACAAAGTTTGAAACTATATAATACTTCATTGTTTAGATTTAAATTAACGTACTATATTTTTTAATACACACATTGACTTGAATTAATGTAATAAAATTTTATGGTTGTCAATTTTTTTTAAAAAATGTAGGCTTAATATATTGACTAAGAACTTTTAATTTAACAGTGGGATTATTGAAGAGTTACTTATGTCAATAACTCATCATTTATATTAAATTTCAATGATTCAATTATTGAATTAAAAATTCTTTATGAATAAGTCAAGTTTACAAGTTTTTATAAAATTTGACAACAATTTAATATTTTTTTACATTAATTCAAATTAATAGATATTCATAAAAGCTTAATTTGAATATATAGAATGAAATATTGTATAATTCTCAAATTTTGTAAAATTTGATATACTTGATCTATATATGAAAAACTTATGATTTAACAATTAAATTATTGAAATTCAATGTGAACCATGAATTGTTGGGTAGAATCACACATCAATAATCTAATTATTGAAGTACAAATTCTTAATGAATAAGTCAAGTTTACAAGTTTTTATAAAATTTGGAAATAATTTAATACTTATTTTACATTAATTCAAATTAATAGATATTCATAAAAGTATATTATAGGTTAATTTGAATATATAAAACGAAATATTGTATAATTTTCAAAATTTGTAAACTTTGATATACTTAATCTATATATTAAAAACTTATAATTTAATTTAATTTTTATTTATTATGTATTAATGTTTTAAAATAAATTATCAAAAAATTATTTTTTTATTATGATATAAATTATTTATCATATTTAATATAAAATTATTGAGCGATATAATAATTGATAAAAACTCACTAGTATTATTTGATCTCTCCTTATATATACCAATTCTTGTATATTAAACATGAATTTCTATCTTGTACGAGGGTGTTTTAAGAGACTTTTATTTGATGAGAGAATTTGTCAGGATTTCTTTTTAACTTCTTATTTAATTTAATTTTTATTTATTATAATTATTTATAAATTATATATT